TTTCCGTTGCCATTCAATGCACTGCGGTGCCCATCCAAACAAGGGGTAACTTTCCGTTGCCAATGCGCCACGACGCCATTCAAACAAAGGGCAACTTTCCGTTGCCGTCCAGTGCTGTTTAACTTTCCATTGTTATGGATTCGAGGTTGCGCATCTTGAGAGTAGGTTCCGAGCTCGTTGAGCAGTGACCGTTTGCAAAAATAGTTTTTGAGAGTTTTTACTGAGGTTGACTAATTTTCTCAAAAATTATTCCAATTTTCCAAAACCGGACCATTTTCTTGGACCCAAAAAGGAAAATTTTCAGTGCTCATAACCTAACTTGCATGATTTCAAATCAAAAATTGAACAAGTGTGTTAATCTAACTCTCATGTTGGTCAAAATTGTTTTAGTAGAAAACCAAAACAAAAAAAAATAGTCAAAATAATGAACTAGGGGCACAGTTAAGTCGGGTGTTCTGTCTTTTCCCCATTACCAACATACTTGCCAGAAAGGGCACCGTATCTGCCAGAGAAGGGCACAACAGAAACTAACAGCAAAATGTCGAAAGTTCTCTCATCCTCCAAGCAGCGAGGTATCAAGCTAAGTGCGAAGCACGAACTGGAATGGAGCAGGATATTTCATTCCCTCATCTGGACAGATCTAATCACGTCCAAACTCCCCAGTAGAGCATCGTTAACCAATGTCAATTGCAGATCTGTTGCACATCTAGCCGCATCACAACCTCTCTGTGGGGGAAGTTCACTGTTGTGAGCAGAAAAAAAAAAATCTAGCAGAATGCTAGGGGCAAGAGCCCGCAACTTCTTGTTTACCCATCAATCACCCTGGGGAGGGATGAAAAATGAGAGATAGAGAGATGTGCCCTGAGAGAAAAAGCGAGAAGAGGATTTTGAGAGAAAACCAAGCTTGAGGGCCGAGTGATGTGAGAATCACAAATGAGAAAGGGTGGGAAACAATACCCGGAGAAACTGGCTCCTCGTGCACTGAGAGGTCTCTTGCCATTGGAACATGTTTGTGTGTCGTGTCAGTTATTTTGTTTGTCTCGATTCTCGTTTTGAGTCGTTTCGGGTGCCTATAGATGTGTTTAGGTTGTTTACCTTTTGTTTTTCTTTGTTGAGTCGTAGTGTGCTGTGTTCAGTCGTAGACTCAATACCAGTTGAGAACTTATTCTCACTCTCAATTTCAAAAATGAATCATTTTGTGCTCAGAGTGCCGTGCCGTTCTCCACATTTGTGCAAAACAAGATTTTGTTCTTTCAAAAACCGCAGGGTTCAACCTAGGTCATGCGGGAACAGTAAAACCAAGACCTATTTGAAGCTATGAAAGTCCCGGGCTGCAAAGCAAAAGAAAAGAGGGAAAATGTCGGGCATCTGAGTTTGTTTCAACTTCTGCAAGTTCCGTAATGGCACCCTGTATGTTCAGAATGAGCTGTGTGTTCAAAATTAAAAGAATACTGTGTTTTGAGCCATGTGTTCAGATCGAGCGGTGTTGTGTTATGAGCTGCGTGTTCAAAATGAAGTGAATGAGCTGTGTGTTCAGAAATGAAATATTAAGAGTGAGCTACGTGTTCAACATATGAACTGTGTGTTCAGAATTGAAAAGTGTGAGCTGCGTGTTCAACATATGAGCTGTGGGTTCAGAATTGAAATGTGTGAGCTGCGTGTTCAACATGAAGTATATGAGCTGTGTGTTCAGAATTGAAAAGTTTGGGCTGCGTGTTCAACTTTCAACAAGTGTGTGCTGCGTGTTCACAATCAAAAATGGGTTGCGTGTTCAGAAGTTCAAAAGTTTGGGCTGTGTGTTCAACTTTCAATAAGTGTGTGTTGCGTGTTCACATTCGAAAATGGGCTGCGTGTTTAGAAATTCAAAAGTTTGGGCTGCGCGTTCAACTTTCAACAAGTGTATGCTGCGTGTTCACAATCAAAAATGGGCTGCGTGTTCAGAAGTTCAAAAGTTTGGGTTGCGTGTTCGACTTTCAACAAATGTGCGCTGTGTGTTCACATTCGAAAATGGGCTGCATATTCAGAAATTCAAAAGTTTGGGCTGCGTGTTCAACTTTCAACAAGTGTGTGTTGTGTGTCCACAATAAAAAATGGGCTGCGTGTTCAGAAATTCAAGAGTTTGGGCTGCGTGTTCAACTTTAAAAAATGGGCTGCCCACTTCCCTTTGGCTTTCTCTAGCCGCTTCTTCAGCCCATCCAGGATGGTCTTGTTTGAGGCTTCTGCTTGACCATTTGACTGAGGGTAGGCCGGTGTTGAGTTGTAGAACTCGATCTTTAACTCCTCGCAAAATCTGCAAAAGAGTTTCCCATCGAACTGAGTGTCATTATCCGAGATGAGGGCCTTCGGTATACCGAAGCGAGTGATGACATTTTGCCAAACGAACTTCTTCACATCTTTTTCCTTTATGGTTGCCAATGGCTCGGCCTCAACCCACTTAGTGAAGTAGTCGGTAGCAACGATGAAAAACTTATAGTTGCCCAGAGCTGCTGGGAGTGGTCCCACAATATCCAACCCTCAAAGCACGAACGGCCAAGTACTTGTAAGGGAGAGCAACTCTCTGGCCGGCTGGTGGATTTGGTGAGCAAAATTTTGACATTTTTCACACCTGCGAACGTATTTCTGCGCGTCCGCCTGCATGCACGGCCACCAATAACCTTGGGAAATCACTCGGTAAGCCAAAGACCTTCCCCCAATATGACTCCCGCAGATGCCTTCATGAATCTCAAAGAGGAAAGCTTCCACCTTGTCGGGGTGGACGCACTTCAGATACGGCCCAGTAAAAGACTTCTTGTATAAGGCCCCAGATGGAGAGAGCCAAAACCACTCTGATTTGGCCAGGATTTTGTTGGCCGCCTTCTTTTCTTCTGGTAGAATTTTATCTTTTAGGAAGGTGATGATAGGGTCCATCCAGGATGGTCCCAGGTCAGCGCAGAGTACTTCAGACACTTCTGGTTCCTTAATGCTTGGCCGAGGTAGGAATTCTATCATCAAAGGATTAGGGAAAGCTGTTTGCGTGGATGCAAGGCCAGCCAGTTCGTCAGCTATGTTGTTTTCTTCGCGGTTGATTTGTTCCACTCTTATTGCGGCGAACTTTTTGATTTCTGTGCGTACCAGCACCTGATATTTGGCCATTCTTTCATCCCTGGCTTCATACTTCCCAAAGACGTAATTGACCACCAGCTTGGAGTCGCTGAATACCATAAGGGCCGACGCTTTCATTCTTAATGCACTTCTCAATCCGGCAATGAGGGCCTCATATTCCGCCTCATTGTTGAACGCCAGGAAGCCGAGCGTAATTGCTTGCTCGATGACCAGCCCGTCTGGGGAAGTCAGTACGATACCCAGCCCGGCGCCATGTCTGTTGGAGGCCCCATCGACAAAGAGCTTCCACATCTTGCCAATAAACAACTTCCAACAGTCGGTTGGGTTTTGGGAGCTTCTCAACTCCAAGGTACCAGTCGGTTCATTCTGGTCTCTTTCCATGTGTAGCGATAGGTTATCCGGCTTCTCCATCTCGGCTTCCAGTTGCCCCTCTTCTATTTGTGATCCACCACTTGTCCCCGTTGCTTGAACCGTGGGTTGTGCCAAATCCGCACTAGCTAAATCAATTGGGCAAACAGGATGCATTCCAGGGGCAAATCCCGCCACGAAGTCGGCAAGAGCTTGAGCCTTGATTACGGTACCCAGTTGGAACTTGATGTCGTATTGCCCCAATTCTACGGCCCATTTCAAAATTCTCCCAGTAAAGTCTGCCTTTTCAAAGAGCACCTTAAGTGGAAACTCGGTTAGCACAACTACTGTGTGGGCATGAAAATAGTGTGCCCATTTTCTAGAAGCCATCATCAGGACCAGGGCCAATTTTTCTAGTGGCAGATATCTTGATTCAGCCGGGAGCAAGGTCTTGCTTACGTAGAAGATGGGAAGGTGCTGGGTACCTTCAGCACGGACTAGGACGGCGCTCACCGCATGTTGAGAGACTGCCAAGTAGAGATACAGTTCTTCGCCCGATTTTAGTGTGACTAGGATAGGGGCTGAGGAAAGGTATACTTTTAGATCCGCCAATGCACGATCACATTCATCATCCCAGAAGAACTTGGCCTTCAAAGTTTTGAAGAAGGGCTGCAACGATTTAAAGACTGGCTTATAAATCTGTTCAGCGCGGCTGCCATCCCAGCAAGATGCTGCACGTCCTTCGTGGAGTTTGGGCACTCTAGCTCTTGTATCGCCTTGATTTGGGAAGAGTCGGCTTCAATTCCTTGATTTGTGACCAAAAAACCCAGAAACTTTCCGGTGCCAACTCCGAAGGCGCACTTAGAGGCATTCAAACGCAGCTTGTGATGTTTAAGTGTAGCAAACATCTCTGCTAGGTCTGCGAGGTGTTGAGACTTGTCCTTGCTCTTTACCACCATGTCATCGATGTAAGCCTCCATGGTGCGGCCCAAAAAGGGAGCGAACATCTAGGTTACCATCCTCTGAAAAGTTACCCCGGCATTTTTCAGTCTGAATGGCATGACTTTGTAACAATACAGGCCTCTTGGAGTGGTGAATGAAGTGATCTCTCGGTCTGGTTCATACATGGCTATCTGGTGGTAGCCACGATACGCATCCGGGAAGCTAAACCTCTGATGGCCAGCGGTTAAATCTACCAGCTGGTTGATTCTCGGGAGGGGAAAGCTATCCTTTGGACACGCACGGTTGACCGTCTTATAATCAACGCACACCCGTCATTTACCGTTTTTCTTCGGCACTACTACCGTGTTAGAGATCCACCTTAGGTACTGTACTTCTTCTATCGCATTTGCTTCTAGCAGGTTCATGACCTCCTCCGCCACTATCTCGGCATGGTGCAAGGCCGAGGGTCGTGTCCTCTGGATGACCGGCAGTGCATTCGGGAAGACCTTCAACTGATGGCAAATAAAGCTAGGGTCGACGCCAGGCATATCGTAAGGCGTCCATGCAAAAGCTTCTATGTTGGAAACCAAGAAGTCGACATATTCGAGTCACTCGGCGCTGGACAAGGGTAATCCCAAAAGAAAGAACTTAGTTGGATTGTTCTCGTCGATGCGTACCTCCACCAAATCTTTAACCGATTTCTTCTCGGCCTTTCTTCCCACGTCTTCCAGGACTTCCTTTCCTTCCGGGCCCTTTATCATTTGAACGAAGCCTTTGGCAGCTCGGCTGCCGTTCACCGCAACGAAGCACTGTTTTTCCATTACCTGGTCTCCCCAAACCTCTTCTACCTGCCCGGTTAGCGTCAGGAAGTGCAGAACCTGATGGTAGGTCGACGCTACTGCTTGCATGGCGTGCAACCAGCCCCTGCCCAAGATTAAGTTGTAGGTGGATGGGATCTTAAGCACCCAAAACTCTACTTGCTTCATGACCGAACCCGCTTTGACCGGCAATATGATCTTTCCTATCGGCCATTTTGGTTGAGAATTGAAGCCAACCAAAGGAGACGTTGCAGGGGCTAAGTCCTTGTCCTCCAACTTCATTTGTTTGAATTCGTCATAATACATGATTTCAACTAAACTCCCCTGGTCAATTCTTTTGATGTCGAAGTCTTTAACACGAAGAGTCACTACTAGGGCGTCATTGTGGGGCACTTGAATTCTCTCCAAGTCCTTACTTGAAAATGTAAGGATATCTTTTTCTTCGGTCTTTCCTTTCTTTACAGCTGGTTGAACGGAGAGCACCTCCCTCATGTGCTCGGCTTTCTTGATCATCCCCCTCAGCTCGCAGACCCGTGCCGGTTCAATGATGCCATGGATGACGTTGATTACGCCTTGCGACGTTGCGTTTAGGGCGGCTAGGCCGTTTGGCTCTGTTTGTCCCAGTGGAACGGCTTTTATAGCCCATCTATGTATTGGTCCAGATGTCCCGCTGCCACTAGCTCCTCCAAATGTTGTTTGAGCGACAAACAATCCTCCGTTTGGTGCCCCCGTTCCTCGTGAAAGGTGCAGCGATATCTTGAGTTGAAGCCTCTCTATGTACTCCCCAACTTGGCCGGCCAACGAACGAAAGGCTCACCTCGGATTTCACTCAGGATGCGGTAAATAGGGATTTTAAAGACCGTGGTGATACCTGTTCGCGCTTTCAATTTTCTCTTGGCATCTTCCTCTTCATCACGAGAAGCGTTAGCTCGGTCGTTTCTGCGACCTTTACTTCTATCATCGCGGTTTGAGCCACGACGTTGATCTTTTGACCGGTCGTTTGGGCGGTTGTACTCCTGCCCCACCGAGTCAACCTTCCCCGCCATTGTTCTATCCGCCGCGACTGGATTAGCCTTCTCGGTTGCGGAGGCGGCATCATCCTCCACAAGGATGTGTTCGTTGATCCGTTGCATTAAGGACTCTATGGTTGCGGGCTGGTGCATTGTAAGTGAATCTCGCAGCCTATGTCCGACTGGGAGACCACGCTTGTATTGAGTAATCGCTAGATTGGTGGGGCAGTCAAGGATCTCATTGTAAGTTTCCCAGTACTTCATATTGTATGCCTTCAACGAACCTCCAGACTCCATCTTGACGCCCAGGAGATGGTCGACCTCCTTTGGCGTTCGAGTGTTGGTTTTGAATCTGGTGACGAAGGCCTCCGCTAGTTGCTGCCATTCCTCGATACTCCCCTCCGGAAGCCTTTCGAACCATTTCAGGCCCAGTTCTCCTAAGCTTGCTGGGAATATGAGGCACATCAAGGCGTCATTGCGCCGGTGCCCAGCCATTACTTGCCAGTAATGACTCACGTGCATGTACGGATCCGTTTTGCCGTCGTACAACGTGAACTTAGTTTTTTGGAATCCGGCAGGGAGTGGTATACTCTTGATTTATGGAGACAGCGATGAAGTTGTAAGTCTTGCTAGCTCTTTGTCCACAAGAGTTGGGGCCACCACTTTGTCCACAAGCGCTGGGGCCACCACTCTGGGTGCTGGCATTGCCACTTCCTCACTACAATGGGTTTGGGAGCTTAGCCTCTACAATGCCGACAATCTCTAAGTCTCCCTACGGCGAGCCCTCTCCTCCAATACATCCCTCAAGTCTCCCGAACCGGCTAAAAAAGAGTATCGCGATGTCGACGATGGGCGTGAGGGACGATAGGTGCTGTCGCGAGTGTGAGATTTGCCCGCCTGTGGGTCAGAGTCCCCGACCCCATAGCTTTTGGTGATAGAGAGAGAGTGCATCCTTTCTTGGCAATGATTGCCAGAACGAGGAGATGGGGTGCGCTCACTGAGGCTGCCCTCTCCAGCAACACCCTTCCCCTTGATCTGGTGTTTTAGCACTCCATTTCAGCCGCCATCTTGCGAATGAGGGCGTCCTAGTTTTTAAGTTTGTGTGCCAGGCGTTGTGCATGCGACTCCCCCCGCCGTCGACGGCCCTCTGGACTCTTTGAGCGATCAGTACTCCTTGCGCGTTTGTCTCGCGCACCTCTCGAAGAGGTCTCCAGGCCCGCCATGGCTGGAACAGCAGAGGGCCTTCTCTTCTTCGAACAGACTCTGGCGTGACACCATCGACAACGGACAGTGGTGTTTCATCGTTGTTAGCCATGGAAACGGTCGAAAAAGCTTAAAGAGCAAGGTTTGTGTATCCAAGTTTTTCCACAAACGGCGCCAACTGTACAGGGGCGAAATATCCTCTGTTCTTCGTACTCCTTGAACTCAAGCTCCACGTAATGTCGCCTAGCCTAAAAATAGAAAGATGGTGAGCTGCCCGGCGATGTGTTGCCGGATAGTCCCTTCGACGATCAAGTTAGATCACTTAAAGAAGAAGAAAATAACACTTTTTAGAGAGAGAGAGAGAGAGAGAGAGAGAGAATTGTTCAGATTGCTTACCTCCAACGTCCCCTATTCCTCCTTTTTTTAGGCTGGCCATGCAGCCTCAGGGATTGTGCGCGCACTACCTCTGCTGTTTTTCCCTGGACAGGTGGCAGTGCTCCCCTCTCACTACCTTACGCGTGTAAAGGCTAAAACCTCCAAACAGCATGTGTGCAACTGCCAAACGGTTTTGACGCGTGCCAGGAATGGATTTTCCCTCCATCACACCTTAGGTCCAGGTGGCACACTCAACCAGGATACCTTGACCGACCTATCTCTTGGAAAGAAACACCACCATGACCGGGACGGCCAAACTGTAAGAAGTTGGTCCATTCGGACTGACCAGCCGTGGGACGTGCCGACCTTCGTCTCGGTCTAAATTTGTTCCGGGCTGTGCTTGGCTCGGTCCAGACACACCACTGCGGATCCAACTAAATACCTAACCGAATCACAGCTCAGTCGGCACATGCATGACTCCACGCTCCGGTCGACAAATCTAGCTCAGCTTGTCGCGACGGGCCAAGGAACCGCTCCGATTTAGTTCGGTCGAACATAGTCCGGTTCTCGCAAGGTCCATTATAACACGCGTTACTGTAGCTCGTCCGTATTCGTCTGGCGCAAATCTCCCTCTCACTTACCAACTAATTTCAAGTATGATTCGAACCATATTATTGTGTCGAAAATTTTCACAATTTTTTGAAAAATTGATTGAATTATAACTCACTCTAGCACTAATCAATCAAGACTTCACAGACTGATTGAATTCAAGTCGACCAAGACTTAAACACATTTATTGTACACATAAATAGTAGGGATGGGTGCGTATATATTTATAATTTAACATTTAAATTTTTAGGTCAAGTTTGGCATGTCCAGGAAAAATCAAAAGTCAAAAAGTTACTTAAAAAGTTAAAAAGTTAACACTATTCACCAAAAGTCAACATTTGGGCATTCCGCACTATAGAAGGTTTGAATTTTTCCTCATTCTAAAACAAATCTCACATTCAAAACGAGAATATAACACTCTAATGTAATACTCCAATAATGTAACACTCCAATATAACACATTAAAAAACACTTTAGTGCACTTTTTCTAAACGAAATAACATAACACTTCAAACTTTTTCTAAACGTAACACTCCAATGTAATACAATCTAATATAACACACAAAAAAAAACTCTTTAATGTACTTTTCTTAAATGCAACACTCTAATCAATGTAATCCCAAACGGAACACTCCAATGTAACACAAAAAAAAAAAAAAAATTCCTTAGTGTACTCTTTGCAAACATAACACTCTAATCAATGTAATACCAAATGTAATATTCCAATGTAACACACAAAAATACTAAAAAACTTCGTAGTATGCTTTTCCAAGTGTAACATTCACAGTTTAAAATTATACATTTGCCCAAAATTTACTATGGAATTTTTGTACTCCTTTTCAAATGGTTTGAAAAATCTCACATCGTTTTTTTAGAGTGTTATGTTTGGAAAAAGTACACTAAAGAGTTTTTTTGAGTGTTATGTTAGAGTTACACTAAGCATTTTTTTTTTTGAAGTGTTACGTTTGAAAAAAAATATACACTACGCCAAAATTGGGCTTTAGCGGCGGTTTTTACCGCCGTTAAAGGCTGTAAACCCGCCGTTAAAGCCTTTAACGGCGGTATTAACGGCGGTTTTGTTACCGCCGTTTATGCGCGTGACGGAAAAAGTACAACCGTCGTAAAAAGGTAAATTACCGTCGTTAAAAGTTGACCAAAAACGGCGGTAACATAGGACCAAAAATGGCAGTTTTTTACCGCCGTAAATAGATTCAAATTTTTCAAAAAATAATTCTTTCTTCTTGCACTTCCCAAGTCTTAAACCCTCAACCTCTCATCCACCCACACTAACCACTCTACCATAGCCACTCTTCATGAAATATATTCCCTAAATAAATATTTAAACATTATTTTTACTTTATTGTAGATGGTTTCGCTGGAGCTCGCCGGAGTTTCGCCGTAGCACGCCGGAGTTTCGCCGACAAAGACCGCCGACAAAGACCACCGTCATTAACGGCGGTAATGATTGGGCATTAGCAGCGGTTTTGTTACCGCCGTTAAAAGTGGGCATTAACGGCGGTTTTTTTAACGGCGGTAACAAAACCGCCGCTAATGCCCAATCATTACTGCCGTTAATGACGGCGGTCTTTGCCGGCGGAGCTCCGGCGAAACTCCGGCGTGCTCCAGCGAAACTCCGGCGAGTTCCGGCGAAACCATCTACAATAAAGTAAAAGTAATGTTTAAATATTTATTTAGGGAATATATTTCATGAAGAGTGGCTGTGGTAGAATGGTTGGTGCGGGTGGATGAGAGGTCTTGGGTTCAAACTTGGGGAGTGCAAGAAGAAAGAATTATTTTTTGAAAAATTTGAACCTATTTACGGCGGTAAAAAAACCGCCGTTTTTGGGCCTATATTACCGCCGTTTTTGGTCGACTTTTAATGACAGTAATTTACCTTTTTACAACGGTTGTACTTTTTCTGACACGCACATAAACGGTGGTAACGAAACCGCCGTTAATACCGCCGTTAATACCGCCGTTAATGCATCATTAACGGCGGTTTCGTTACCGCCGTTAAAAAACCGCCACTAAAAGTGTCTTTAACGACGGTAATGAAACCCACTTTTAACGGCGGTAACGAACCCGCCGTTAATGCCCACTTTAAAAAAAAAACTCTTGATTAAATGGATTACCAATCCTAAAAATGATACTTATAAATAAATTTTCCTTAAATTTTTAAAAGACATTCATAAAATAACAAAAAATGACAACGCACCCATCAAATGAGATATATATTTTATGCAATAGAAATAAACAGATATAAGTAAAATCATTGTTGCATTCAATGAAAGTCCTATGTGCTCAAAGCACAATTGATATACATATTTATAAGTGTAAATTAAACTTTCATGAAATTTTGAGTAAATACATCAAGTTCTACGATTTTTATATAATTACATTGAATTTCTTTAATATTTTAATTCAAATAACACTTTATCATTTTTATCAGTAATTCATTAATCATACAAACTAAAAATTGATATTATCATATTTTTTACACTAAAATGTAAATTTTTCCTTATCTATCTTTATATCTATACATCATCTGCATTAGTCAATCACTTTAACATTACTAAAAATAAGATTAATATGATTATGTTAAATTTGTGCAGCTTATTGTATTCTAGGATAGTTAGTGCTAACCTATCAAGGGATCAATCTTGATATTTTGAATCGTTCATATTGTAGAGCTCACTAAGTATATCATCCTTACAAAAAAATTAGATTTAATTAGATAACTATAGTCATATGATCAAATCACATTTGTTATAAAAAATAAATAAATAGCAAGTGTAATTTTAATAATAGACCATTCAATGTTCTAAAAAACAAATGTAAGTTGTAGGATTAATTTTCTTCTTTTCATGGACGATTTACTTGAATAGTCCCACAATATGAATGGTTCGTATGATCAAAGTAGGCTCACAAAAGCCTAATAACACCTATTGTTATTTTGAATATAACTT